TTCACATGAAAACTATCTTTCTAAAGATGAAAATGCTTTGAAATCTAAAGAAAATAACAGATGGCTAACATATTCTAAATAATCCACAAAAATAAGTGGTCTACACGGATTATACTTTATAATTCCATTACCCCTAGAATATTCATAAAATTCTTAGTGGTTTCTTGTTCTACCAGAAAGTGGTCATAGCCAATATATAGTTACATTTCCAGTTGAGGATAGAATCTAGATGTATGAAAATAAAGATTTTTTTTTTAATTTTTACATATACATGTGTTTATTAGGTTTCCACTTTTTGCCTTCACAAAATCAAAAAGGCTTAACATTTAACAACAATAACAATGTTTAAGATAAGGACTAGAAACAAAAACCTCGTAAAGAATGAATGAAGATAAATACATTCATAAAAGATATCAGACGATTGCTGCAACAAAGTATGAAGCAATAATAATAATAGTAATGCAAAGAAAGTAACATTCACATTGTCAAACAAGCGTATGTCTAAGATTATTTTTATGATATCATTTTTTTCTCAAAATTTTAGCCTGTGGATGTACTTTGACAGACAAAATGACTAACAGTGTTGGTAGTAACTGTGAAATTTCTAAGTAATTATAAGTTTTTTGAGGCCTAGAACAATATCCTCTGACCAGCCTACTACCATGTGGTGTGTTGCTTATTTATGATAAATGCATTAATGTAGGTGAATGTAATAGATACTGACTTAGGCCTATTCTGTACGATAAACCTCTGATCAGTATAGTTTATTAAACCATGGTAAAGACTTAATATTCTTTTCATTGTCATAATGATGCAATTAGTAGAATATCAGAATTTAAGATACAGAATAAAATGCTAAAATATCTGGATCAATAAGTGCTATGAGGTCCATTGATTTGAAATCATTTTAAGCTGGAGTTCCTGGAAGAAATCATATTGTAATTAGGAATTGATCTTAAATGAGGAATTGATCTATGATTGTAAGTAGGAATTGATCTTAAATGAGGGAAATTTGATTAGTCTAAAAAGAAAGCAAATAACAATACAATTTAAAGATAATATATCATGTTCTTTTTAATGTTATTCCTTCTAAATACAAAGGAATTTATTAAAAATATTTGTTATAGGCCGGGCACACGTGTAATCCTAGCACTCTGAGAGGCTAAGGCAGGTGGATTGCCTGAGCTCACTAGTTTGAGACCAGCCTGAGCCAGAGAGAGACCTTATCTCTAAAAATAGCCGGGTGTTCTGGCAGGCACTTGTAGTCCAAGCTACTTGGGAGGCTGAGGCAAGAGAATTGCTTAAACATAAAAGTTTGAGGTTGCTGTGAACTGTGACGCCAGGGAACTCTACCAAGGGGGACAAAGTAAGACTCTGTCTCCAGAGGAAAAAAAATTGTTGATAAAGAATTAACATTCACCAAATCTACAAAGAAAAAAGATATTCAAAAACTACTCAAATGTCATGAAATAAATATCTTTGCAGGTTATATCTGGGTCATGTTTATAAGGTATTTTTATGTACCAGCCAATAAATTAGACAATATGGAAAAATAAGATAATTTTGTGTCTATAAGAGATAAAACCACCACTATACTAGCAAAATAAAGATAGCTCACCGGAGCCGTCCAGGAGCAGTGCAAACACAAAACACTTAAGCTTAACTTACCTGAAACTCCTGTAGGGAGTGATGATTTCAAAAGACTGTTTTACAGTCCGGTCCACTTGCTTTACGTTTGCTACGTTCATAGGAATTATGGTAATACCGAGCCCACTCTTAAAATCCTGGGGGAGAAACACATTGAAAAACTATCAAGAAACAACAAAAATA